TCAGCATTTTTTTGGGCATCATTTTTATGAAAACATGAGACCTGGGCTAACCCACAAAATAGCCTGTAAAGACACAGTCCACTCTGAATAAACCAGAAAGACGGATAAAAGTGACAAAGCAGAAGGAAGCTGTGAAATACTCAGAGCTATTAAACACGGTCCTCAGAAATGGGCATTCTGCCCTGATGGGTTAGAAGATTTCAGATTATCCCTTATCTCTTTGGGATGAAAACTCAGATAAGCGATTACAGAACAAATATTGGAAAACAAGCAGAATAGAGGCAGAACTCTTGATAGACAATTCAACGTGTAAAATAGCACATGCCATACTGGGAGTATTTATCAATGCCACCACTAAGGACATAAAAGAAATAATTAAGACCATTGTGGGGGGAGGGATGAGTTAAGGAATATCCTCTTATTATACACATTAGAACAAACCAGGCACAAACAACAAACCAAAGACTTCAAGGTTAGTTTACAGATCCAGAAAGAGCTTAACGTAGGTGCAAAACAGATGATCCACTTGGGAAGAAAATATTTCAACGCATTAAGGGAAGAAATAAGAAAAAAAGCCCATAACTGAGGTTCCTAAGGAAGCAAATGCCGTCTGTGGTGATACAGAAGTCAATTAGATAGTTTTCAGCTACAGTGATGGACCAATTTCCTGGGGTATAAAAAAAATTCTCATGGGGCATAGGCAAGAGCAGAGATACTGGTTTTGTTCCTCCTCATTTTCTGGCACCTTTGTCTATGTTGAAAAAATAAAAAAATAAAACACGTTATAAGAAAAAGCAATTAAAATGCTTCTCAAGAACCAAGAGCAGCATAGAAAACACCTCCCAGTGAGAAATATGATAAAGTCATCAAAACTTTTTATGCCATCACATTAGAAAAAGAGCAAAAATGCAATAACAGAGCAGTGAAGAATGAGTTTCACCCAAAGAAATGCTGAACAGCGGGAGCTTTGCTGGATTATTTTAGTTCAGTGTACACATCCATGTCACACCATCACTTCTTACTTAAAAACAGCTGCAGAAGGCTCCTGCTGTGGCTGCTGCCGTTAGCTGAAGCTCTGATCTTCCTGTCTTGATACAAGTCATCAAGTCGCATTTCCTGCTGGAATTAAAGTGGCAGCCCCTAGGGACTGTGCAGCTACCCAATTTATATCAGAGAGAATCTAGAGCAAGCACCGGTATTTTTTCAAACTGCTTGTTTTAAATCAATTTATTTTTTATAAACCCCAAATTCTATTAAGATTTTTCTCCCTCCCCACTTTCCAGACATTTGCATTTTGAAACAATTAAAAGAAAACACAGGCATTTCAAGGTCTGTGCACAAAAAAGTATGGGTAAACTCACAGGCGTCAAAACCAGACCGTGCCTACAGCACAAATCTGAGCCGAGAGATCAAATAAAAAGCTTCAAGGGTATGAGTTACTGCATCGTTAGGAGTTAGGTGGTACGGATGGTATATGAATACTATGCAGGGTATTTAGAAAACAACAAAAGGTAGAAAGTATTTTGGGTCAGAGCAAAAAGAGGAGAGCAACAGGGAAACCATCCTGGCCAAGTGCTCAAACCACACGGTGCCAGGCAAGGACAGCTACGGGGTCATCGCTAATGAAGCCAGAAGCCAGAAATGCATACTGTCTTTTTTGTTCTGTACTTCTACAGTGCTTAACACAGCAACAACCAGGTCAGTGAAGAGTGTTCCTAACAGCTATGATAGGTTACGATAAATAAGAGTTTGGAGAAGATCATGTGGCATCACATTAAGCAGTCTCTGTAGTTAAACACAGATATTCATAACTCAAAGAAAGTCTTCAGTTACCAGACATTCAACACTCCTTAACCATCAAGAAGGGTAAAATACAGGCTCTCTCTTGCATGTGATGATTTTTTTTTAAAGTCTGTCATAAAGAATATCAAAAGCAAGGCAAAGTTCGCAAAAACTTCGAAACCAAGAATTAAAAAACCCTACAAAATATTAATCTCTTTTTTTAAAAAAAGAATAATAAGCAAATCAAACTAGAGTATGTTAAACCGTGCATGAGAAGGGCTGTCAGCTAGGTTCCACTTCCAAAATTACTTGAGAGCACATTATAATTAGCAAAGGTATGTGACAGTTTTATACCCCTCTATGATGCATGATTAAAGCCAGGCAGCCCAGGTCAGCCCCAAGTTCTGCATGCCGTCAGAACAGATGTGACAAGAACTACAAGCTGCTCCCGGGCGGATTGTGAGAGAGCATAGAGAGATACCACTTTGTCTGTCGAAGAGGTAAAGCCACGAAACAAAACTAATTAAACCTCAAGACCCCGCAGAGAGGTAGGTAAACTGGATGAGGTTGTATGAAGCATCTTGTTCTGGAACTGCTGTGCTCTCGCCCAAGAACAAAGATGAGAACAAGCTCCTACCTTCCTCTCCGAGGTGCAACAGGCAGCAAAGTTTACAGCCTGAAGATTAACAGCTCACAGCCGTCGCACGAGGACAGGGAGCACAAATGCCCTGAGAAATCACTGCTCTAACACCACCGTGACGGTCCGTGAAACTGCCAATTTTTCCCACGCGAGGCAGATACCCATTATCTGTCTGCAACAGAAAAACATGGAGTCCTGGCCCATTCCAAAAAGCCAAATTCTGCTTCTTACATTTGCACGCTCAAAATTTCAATTCGAGGCTCAACTCACTGTTAATGGGACAAAAACCAGGTAGAGCAGGGTAAGTGTGCATCAGCCAAGGTCTATACGCCTCCTGAACTCGGGTTAGAGGGAACAAAGGTTTGGGAAATAAATGTACAAGAAGAATTTTAGGCTTTAAAAAACACACGTTCATTTTGGATAAATATCCCATAGCTCATTTGTAAGTGTGAAACACACCGTGGGGCAAGTTTCTTTCTGAGAAGTGTATCCCAAGCCATCATTTTATTTGCGTTTATCTACAGATTTCTGTGTTTAGACTACATCTTAATGTTTCTTCCTTCACGACATCCCTCTGCATACTGCAGCTTTCCCTCTGCTTCCAGGTAGCCTCCCTCACTCCTTCCTCTGCAATGCTTCAGAGCCCACCTCCCTAACATCCCACTGGCTCCAGGCAGTTTTCCCGACACATTCCTTCAGCCATTTCCACCTCGCTGCTCCACATCGGCTCTTTTCCCCCATCTCCTCTGCAGAAATGACTTTTCTTGTTATTCGTCTGCCCACAGGGTAGTCCCCTTCCACAGGGTGGGGGCTGTAGAAAGGGCGCAGCCGGTTTCTCCTTCAGGCAGCCCATTCTTTGCCTACCACAACCGTTTGGGTGAGGTGTAAGTTCTCACTACTTGACTACACAACTTCACACTCCTCATTTCCTACAGCACCTCATGGATGGACATGCAGCAACACCCACACAGGTACCTCCCCACCCTGACCTGGCTGCACAAAGGCACGCTTGGGCTACCAGCTCTTCCTTCTGCCACGAAGTGACCTCCTCGCAGCTTTTGCACCTCAGAGCTAACCAAAGCTGTATTTACACAGGCACAAAGCGGGGCCTACACGCAATACTGAATAGCTACACATTGTTGAGCTGCAAGGTGCATCACGTAACTGTGCAGGAGTGTGTACGCATGTGTACCTGTGCACCTCTCCCCAGACAGACAGACACCTTGCCAACGCCCAACAACTCACCTGTGATTCATCACTCAATTTTCTTAGTTAAAACAAGCTGAGAAAGGAGAGGTGCAATTGCTAAGTGGACACTCTTAGACCTGGGGGATTTGGGAGAACCTCACAATGTTGAATTTATGAAATTTATCAAAGACAAATCTTCCACTGCTCCTACAAGGGTGAGCTGGTTAAGGTGGGCAAAACACATACGCCGCTACTTTCTGGTGTCTGATATGAAAAAATAAACTTGCTGCATGTTTACAAGCAAGCTATTTTGATGAAGGAGGTATACACGATTGCAATCCCTTTGCAATCAAGCTTCTCATGACAACAATTTCATTCAGAGACCGTAAATGCAGTCCAGCTACCTGGTTCAGGTATCAATACCCACTTGTGCTATGTGTCAACACAGCAGTGCAAAAGAAACTATTGAAGTGGCAGATATACATATAAAAATAAGCTATATAAATTTCATTGAACATAATTTATGAGAAATAGAGTTTTCAGTGCAAGCACCTATGGTTATGCCAATACACCCATCTGCACACGAGGGGAATCTTAGGGAGCAGGACTACTTAACACCTCTCCTAAGCAGCTGCAAATGTTGACAAGCTGCCTTTGTCTCCACAGTTATGCTTTGCTATTAACATGATTCGCAGAAGAAGAAATAAAACACATTGCAACAAGCCTTCATTATCACTGGGAGCACATTTCACAGCGTGAGTGGCGATCCTCTCAAGAATGATGTTCTGCAGATGTCTCAGTTTGGGAGGCTACTTGGGTGGACGCTAACAAAGTGTCTCTGGATGCTGAAACATCAGGAGAACATGTTAAATCACTTTCCAACATCCTGCGACAGAACCGATTCCAGTGCTCCTCTTACTTCCAAGAAAATAATTACAATTGTCCCTCCGTAAAGCAATGGGGTCTTACATGTAAGCGAGGCAGCTGCAGAGCAGCAAGTTTTATTCTATACAATGCATATAAAACATTAAAACGATAAGTGACAATTTAAAGACCTACTGTGATATCACTAACTTAACCGAATAGAGCGCGGAGCGTAACAGCAGATGTGGATGTTCGCTGTACGCGGTGGTGCTACAGCAGAGCATCGAACAGACTTGCACGGGATCTGAACAAAGAAGTTTGCTTAACAGTAGGTCTGTAAAATTAAAAACCTGCAACTCAACCCAAGAAGAGCTGGAATTCCCTTCCACTTGGTGAAGCATCTGGTCTGATTGCCGGTGGCTGCCATCACTGCCATGTCATCACTCTAAAGCCGTGAAACATCCCTGCGACCGTGTTAATTAGCTCCCCTTGCTAAGCGCCTAAACCACAGAGCGAGGTTACTCACGTGATGTCTCTGCGCTGATAGCAACCTTGAAGAAGGCAGGCGATCAGGTCGCTGATAAACTCCACATCATCCCTGTGAAGAGCAGCTTCCAGTTCCTAATGAGCAGAAAGAAGAAGGGAAAAAAAAAATTCCAACCATCAGACTAATTCTTTAAAATTTACTGCTGACCAAAAAGACCCAAGCAGCCCCAAGTATGTGCACAGCAGCAGAGCATACGCTGGGTAAGCCCATCATTAAAAATACTGCTACTGCTACTTCTTCGTTGCAGGAGTTTATGGGAAGACCTTGAAAGGCTTTTACCAAATGTCATCCTGCAGCCAGAAGACTAATGCTTTTGTCTGGAAACAGAAAAATAGGGTTCAGTGAGGTTGAGATACTACCGCCTAATAAGAAACCCACGATTCCTCCCATGCTCGACTGATGGGCAGGAATCAACAGTTTCATTCTCCTGCTTTGCTTTCTACCCGCTAAGGCTGGTGAATTAATTTAAAAGATGTGCTCAGAAAGCATGGCCCTAAAAGCCACTTACGCAGAGAAGTAGCAGTTTCAGATGGATAGCCAGAAATGGCTGAAAGCTAGCAAGCAAATGTCTCAAAGAAAAGCAGGCATTTTGATTATTTAACTTATTTCTCTCTGGTTTGGCTGTTTTTTCCTTCTTCAGCAATAAAAAAAAAGGATGAAGGGATGTCAGACCTCATGACCCAAACCCTCAACCCTTGATGGAGGGGTGGAGGGTATCAGGGCTTATTTCAAAACGGCGGAGTTCACGTAAAGGAACTGATCCACAAAAAGGATAAACTTCTAAAATTTAGATAGGAATTTCGCATGTGTTAGGAGAAATATCTGCGTTTTGGCTAGCAATTTCAAGCGCTGTTTCCAAAACATTACTAGGTTGACGACAGTTTTATTTATATGCCAGAATATCATTCACAGTAAGAGAAATCCACTTCCTGTAAGACTTACCATCAGTAGCAAACAGCACTTAACAAGATTTAAGATGGATAAACAGCATAGGCATAAGAAGCTATTCGTTTTTGGGTTTCAGAGTAAATAATGGTTTGAATACAAATTCCTACTTGAATGTTACTCAACAGACTATTACACAAATGGCTAAGCTAATGGCTGCAGAATAAAGGTTAATGGCCAGAGAATAAAGGATAAACGTTTTGGCACTTGCCCAATAAAGAAGAGAAAGTGCTTTTTTATTAGACCGCAGTAACTGCGGTAATAAAATTATTGATAACAGATTGCAGATTAAATGCCACTTGTAGTTTTTTATTGGAAATGTATTAATGGCATATTTTCATTATCAGCACCGCTCTTATTTACCTCTTGTACAACATCCAAAGCGCTGTGCGAGCAGAAGCCCAGCACCTACCCTGGAAAGAACGTACTAAATGCGTCTATTACACATGGAAACCGGGGGCACAGAGAGGGCGGTGGGCAGCCAAAGCCTGGCATAGCATCCCTGCCGCAGAGCTAGGAAACCTCAGTTCTGGCCTCTTGATGACTACCCTGCTTAGTGACAAGCGAATACAAAAACTGCAGTTGCTGCTTGCCATCCCTTGGAGAGAGTGATATTATTGTTGTATAAACAGTAATCACACTATATAAATAGCAATTACCGAGTCAATTCACTTGGTCAGCGGTTAGTATTTTGGAGGTGTTGACTTATTTTATTTGTAAATTATTTCAGTCCCCATCTTCCTTCTAGCAAAATACACCTGAGAAGAGGGGAAAACACCCCACCAAAGTCTGCCATGTGCTAAAACATCCCAGGTGCGTCGTCACAGTAAACTTGCAGCTTGTGAAAGGTGACATGTTAAGGACCCAGAATAAAGGGGGGGGGAAGTAAGTCACCAGGATGTTCCCCCTCATCCAGCCTCTCCCTTATCCACACACACTTCTGCACTAAAGCTGTCAGTCATCAGCCTGCCTCTGCTAGGATGCAGACAGTCTTTTGTAGGAAGGAACATTTAAATTGCATCCCGTGAGCCTTTTCAGCCTGCTGTTTGACTAACCCTCCTTCAGCAGTGCCCACAACCAGCTCAGATAGCCCCTATCTGCAGCCATTGTTTGCCAGGTCTGGGAGTGACCTTTACATTTTCAGAGCTGGCGGGTCACCCTGCGAGCAGGGGGACATTCCTTGGGCACTGGGCAAGGTGCAGTCTCCCAGACAGACACTCACCAATCTTCCCAAAAACACCTGGCTGGGGAATATATCCCCATGCCTTGCTGCCTTCTCTCTCCCAGGGGGGTGCTCCTTGCCCCTGCCTTCATGGTGGGTGCAGAGCAGATTTGGGAACCCGACTTGGCTGCAGGTGGATCTTGCAGCCGTTTACTACAGGCACTGGGCACGCAGACCCACTCGGGGCTGGGTGCAGAGTCCCGGCATCACACTGGGTTAAGGGGCTTCAACACAAGTCAGGATTAATCAGCACACAAGCACAGCGCTAACGAAGGTCCATTATTAGCTGTCAGTGCCTCTGTAGAAAGATGCTTGCAGTGTGCTCCCCGATGCCATCCGTGGGTGCTGCCTGCAGCCCACTCTGGTCCTCTGGTCCCTACCAACAGCCATACCCAGTGCTAACAAGTTACGGTAAAGGCACAGTCCAAGTATTACCATGATTATTTGTCTTGGAAAGAAGATATTGAGTTTGTCCTATAAAGTTTTTGTCTACTTTTTTTTCCTGTCACTCCTTACAATAGGGCAAGAGCAGCAAGAGGTACTTTAATTTCCCAGGGCTGGGTCCATTGGTCTTATTGAAGTGAATGTCACAGTTTTCTATACCGCTGCCCCCAGGAAGCCCCAGCTTTCTGCCCCAAAACACCTAAATCCTGGACTTTTCCCACATGCCCAGGGTGCTGTGGGAACACCATGGACCAGAAGGATGCGATGCAAATCTTAACACGTCAGGACTGTGACGCAAGGGTCACGATCCCCTCGGGTTTTCACCTAATGCTTCAGCCCACATTTTGCAGGAGGAAGAATAACCGTTATTTCTCCAGCCCTTCCCTCCAAGAAGGGTTGGCCAGCGAAGCAGCACAGTGCTGGAGCAGCACATCCGAGCAGAGGTGGCTAAAGTGTCTCCCAGGAGAAAGTGGCCACCAAAACCTCCCTGATCCTCAGAGCAAGCCCTGTTCCGGGCACGTGTCCCCGTGCTCCTCTGGCCTGGCCTGGCCGAGCGGCGAGGCCTGGTCAGGGCGAGCGGCTGGGCTTCCTCCCTGCCACCATCCCTCCCCCCACAACACGCCTCCAACCCTTTTGTTTTTCCCCTTTTCTCTTTGAGCACTGAGCTGTGAGCACAGAAATCTGAACCTTGCCAAAACGCTTTGGGGACGGCACAGAAAGGAAACAGAAGAGGCAGCAAATCAGCAGAGTAAAGGGGACACACACACCCCCCTCCTCCTCCTCTAGCTGGAGAGAGCAACAGACAGGAGAAAAGCAGGATTCTCCCCCTCTCCAGCTGGCGTCACACCTCATTAGGGAAAAGCCTGTTTAACGTCTTTCCCTCCCCCCAACCCCGGGACTAAATCCCCCGAGTCAGGCAAGGGCTGTTGGGAAGAGGCAGCCGCCAAGGCAAGGGTGACCACCTCGCCCCGGGAGTGGGGTTAGCTGGGGCGGGCGAGAGGGCACCAACCCGTCCCCTCTCCCTGCTCCCTGGAAAAATAGGTGGCAGGGGTGAGCTGGAAGAGAAGGGCCTGCTGCCCCACGTCTGCCTGCCCCACACTGGGCACTCCGGCAGGTATGGATAACCCCACCGGTGT